TGTGTGTGTGTGTGTGTGTGTGTGTGTGTGTGTGTGTGTGTGTGTGTTGACCTAATGACATTTGAGAGAAAGAGAGGAAAGAGGAAAATCTGTGAATACAGCCAGATAATTGAACTCAAAAGTATAGTTCTAAAAGGAATAAGACAATCAATAATTGACATAGATTATCTGATAGCATGCAATGCTAAAGTGAGTAATTATAGCCAAATTCTAACAATACCGTTTGTGATTTCAGCTGTAATCAAGAAAAAAAGCTCCTCAGTGCATCCAGTGGTTAAACTGTTAGAGTCTTAACTAAATGTCATTTAGAGCCTGAAAATAGCCGTAATTAACCCACAGTGACAGTGGGTGTACAATCCAATCCAATAACCGATTTATGATGCATGTTTTTACTTATCCAGAATTTTGTTTGAAGGGAAACAGAGTGGAGTGAATTGCAGTGAGCTGTATCTATGTCAGGACTGAACCATGGATGGATATCTTTTGAAAAGCAATCATTTTTTTGCATTTTAGGTCATCAGCTGCATCATATAAAACAATGTTTTATTATAAAAAATTATTATTGAAAGTAAGATTTGTCAGCAGTATTACTATTACAATTTTACAAAATCTGGTGATGTTTAGAATAACTCCCCTTTGTTAGCGTTTCAGTGTTGGGTTGTTTCTGTAATTAATGAGATAGTTGTGTATTACCTGCTATTAACAGTAATTTCTACGATCGTTTGGAAAATAAGGAAAGATTCATGGTGCTCCTTTAAAAAAAAAAAATGACCAAGAGGAGCAAATCCAATAGTGTATCACATATTTTACTATGAGAAAAAAGCAATATAATTGATTTTCATATGGTTTTCTCCACCGAATAACTTCTTCTATGTAATTTGGGCATTTGAGGATGTAATGTGCTGCAAAAGTCCACAAAGTTTGGACCACAGTGAAATTTTGACTCTTAAAATTAGTTATAGACGATGAATTAATTACAAAGTGCATTAAACAGTCCCCATTTAAAGAAATATGAAAAACTACCTCCTTAAACATCCAGATTAAAGCAAAAAATGTCCTGAAATCCCTGAACACACCTCATAAAAGCAAATAAAACGGCTGGGAACAAACCGAATCCAAATCAGATTTAGAAACTATGAAATTTATAGACACAAAAGATAATGGTTAAATCTTTCTTTTCTCACTTTATTAAACGCTTTAATCCTTTCCGTATCATATTTGTTTCACAGGTTTCTGAGTATTAGTGCACCTTCATATGGTCAAAGCCTCTTTTTTTTTACTGTAAAATAGAAAAGTCCCTTTTTTTTTGCATTTTAACCCTTTAAAGCTTGATCCAAGAATTAAACTAAACAAAAAAGAACTTTTTTTTTGGTTTAAATTCCTTATTTAGCCTTTTAACAAAATATGTCAAAAGAAAAAACAGAAACACATTTTTAATATTAATCATTTATTTCTATGCGATAAGTCAAGATTATTTTTTGTGTAGTCTTCTGCCCCCTGTTATCAGGTGTATCTGATTGTGTACAATAGGATTTTGAGCAAAGTTTTTACCATTAAATTATGCAAAATGAGTCCGACGCAAACCATTTCAGAAACCGTACGAATAAAATATGATACATTTGGCATTACAGGGTTAAGAACAGATTGATGGGACAGTTATTCATCATACTATACTTTAAAGCAATTTTTTTTTTAACTCCAACTCTCTACATTTATCATTTCTTGATTCAAAGCTCTGAGGTTGGTTGCCTGACTAGTCCCACCACCCAAGAAAAGTAAAGTCAGGGTTTCTGTGTTGTGAAAATGGGACAGTTGAGTTCACTGTAACTGCCCCAAACAAAGCCCCGGCCCTTTTGCTGCCCGTTTGGCTTTAGAGGGTTAAATTAGAGTAGAAATATGCCAAAAAAAGGCCGGAGAACCGGTCCAGTTTTTGTGGTGTGTGAGTGTGTTTGGGGCTTCGGGGGGCATGACCGGTGAGGTAAGCCTGAAGGCTGAATGGGCTCCAGTGTGCCAGGCACTGGGGGTAAGGGGGGGGGTGGAGGGTGAGGGGGTGGGGGGGCAGTGCCAACCAGAGTCTGAGCAAGGCAGGAACACACAAAACCCCCGAGGGAGACAAAGGAAACACTTCAGTTCGGTCCCTGAGTCTCCAGTCCGAGGCCTCCGTGCGCCATGATGTGAGCAGAACTCCGTTAAAATCTGAGCACGACATTTAAACAAACATTGTCCGTGGTTTTTCCCTGATATCGAGCTTGAGTTTGAGTTTGAGACACGGCCGAGCAGCTTTTTTAGTGCCGACTGACCACTTTTCAGGGTCGGGATCTGAGGCCGAGGAAGGGGAAAAAATAGTGTCTCGTTGCCTGTTTTTTTCCAGTTTTTTTTTTTTTTTTTTCCTTGAGATCTGCCTCTGGAGGCTTCCTTGTTTACATGAGTGTGCGTGCTGTTTTTCAGTGTGTGGGACGCGCTAACCGACAACTACATCTCCGCCTGGGACGGCCCCAAATCCGAGGGACTCAACGGGAACCTCTCCGACCAGGAGGTAAGC